TCCCCTCTAAACCAGGTCGATTTTTTTTTTTAACTCATACGGCCTTCCTCCTCAATTGTGGCTTTTTGGGCATCTAGTAAAGTATTCTTAAACAATTCCCAATTATCATTCAAATTTTTCTGATTAAATTCTTCCTCTCAGCTGATTTGGTTCATAACAAAGTTTTCAGCTTTGTGAAATTGGCCACTTTTAATATTGATTTAGTGAACCAATTTTAGAACCTGTTAGAATTTTGGGGGGTAAATTCCCCAGCATAGAACAGACGTGTGTGTGTGCACGTCAGTCAGACAGATTTAACGGGATTTATTTGGCTGGAAACGCAAATGCAAAGACTTAAGCCATCTAACATATGGGACTAGTGTTCTTTAAACAACAGCTCTTTATGTGGTAGTGTTAAAGGTCAGAAGTCCATTGGGAGCATTCAGGAGCAAGAAGACCTGCTGGCAGATGGCAGCATTGCTCACCCTCTTGTTAAGGGCAGTGAGCAGCTCCAGCTTTCGTCAGCTTCTCTGACACTATGAAATGTAACCATGTCTCAGCGCAGTTGTTGGCAGGCTTGTTAGCCAACCTGGGGCTGAATGCATGTAGACAAGTCAGCCTTGGGTCAGTGAATGTGATGGCCGACAGCCATGTTCAGACACAGTTACCTTTTGCACTGGAGACCTGCCCAAATGCTCTGACTCCTCTGAGGCTCTCATGTCATTTTGTTTCTCTGGGCAGGCGAAATGAGGGTCTCTGCTACAGGATGAGCAGGACTTCAACCTACTTGAGCAAGTAACCTCCCCCGTTGTCAGTGCTGCTCCCTAGTCCTGGCTGATTCACTTATCTGAACCAGGAGGGTCTAGTCTGGGTGGATCTGTGCTCTTTGTAGTCTCATCTTCACAGGAGAATTGAACCTGACAGGGCCGGCTCCAGGCACCAGCCCACCAAGCTTGTGCTTGGGGCGGCACCTGGAGGGGGGCGGCGCGGCACTCCAGCCACTGGGGAGAGCGGGGCCAGGGGCGGGCTCGCCCCCCCCGCCGGGGCCCGCCGCCCCCCCCCCCCGCCCCCCCCCCCCCCCCCCCACAGGGGGGGGGGCGTGGCCGGAGGCTTTTTTGCCTGGGGTGGCAAAAAAGCCAGAGCCGGCCCTGGAACCTGAGCAGGTGGGATCACAGCAGTGTGAGCTGTAACTGTGCAATGTGTCCCACTAGCCTCCTATTTCACTGGATCAGTGTGATGAGGCTGGGCAATTTGGCCTCTGGCTCCCTGCTTCTCTTCCCCCCTTGTTTCTCCCCTCAGGTAGCTGATGAGTTGCTCCCAGTCCCCATCAACTCCTCTGTTACCTATGTCTGCATCTGCTTACATCTCTCCGTGGCAGTGCTGCCCGTCTGTTAGTTCAGCACTGATGGCTCTCCACGGCCCCAGAGGGGGCTGCTGCACACTCTATTTCCCTGTCCTCCCTTCAGCCAGCCAGTGTCTCTTCATACTGTGCCCCACTTAAAAGGACTCTGTGGTTTTGGAGACCCTTGTGAGGAAACAGTCACCACAGATTCTGCCCAAGACTTCTCAGCAGCAGGAGAAGGAGGGCCCAGCCAAGCCACCTTGGGCAGCAGAACAAAGCAGTTACAGGCAGGAATTCTTCCCATCCCCTTTCCAGAGAGCTGCTGGCAGCCTGGTCATTCACTGTACAGTCTGGGCTGGAAGCTCCCAATGGACTGACTAGCTGACTCCAGCTGCCACAGACCTTTCCACCCGGATCCCTCTGACATCTCAGCTATGGTCAGTCTGCTCCTTATGGTTGTAGCATCACATGGGAGCAGACAAGGATGTTGGCTAAGGACACACACACAGAGTCGCACACAAACAGGTGTCTGGATCCCAAGTGACAGCTGATGATCTTTCAGTCCACAGGCTGTTCCTTTTCCTTCGATCCAAAACCCTTAAGGAGAATCACAGAGATTGAGCAGCTGCCTTTGGCTTGGTGGAATTTGCGTCTACTTATCCCAGCTCTGCTTTGGCCCTCACTCTCCTTTGCAGGAGGCTCTGCAAACGCTCTGTTTGAGCCCATAGCTTTGATCTCCACTGTAAATTTTTCACAAGGACTTTGTTGTGCATTGTGCAGTATTGTGCCTAAAGCAGTGCATCTACTTTTCACTGGGACCAGAACATTTCTCCTTCCAGCCTTTGCTCAGCTCCTGAATTGGAGAGGGCCCATGACGTTCTCCGGATTTGAAAAAAGCACCTTACATTTTATAATACTGGATGTGATCACTTTGATACTTTAGCTCCTGCAAGTGCTGCCTTTGGCCATATAGGTCTCAGAAACATAGCAAAAAGCATGCATTTGATTGCAGCCTTCAGTTTGTCTGCTCTGTAACTCTCCCTCATGCTGCGCTCAGCGTCTCTGAACCTGGTAGTCTGGCGTGGTGGGACTCTGACTCCTATGGGAGAGAGGTTTACCCGATGATGTTCTGGGATTTGCAGCTACCAGTGCGGATCCCCTGTTTCAGTTGGACAAATTACCTATTCAGAAAGAATTGACTTGCAGTGTTTGTTACATTGCAATAAAAAGTTTAGTCCTGTCAACTGTCAGCCTTTGTCCCTGGAAGGAGTGGCCTGGAGGGGGGTGGTTTGGGTGGCTCTGCTGCTCTCCATAAGTAATGTTCTTTTCCCTTGGAGAAGCAGAATAGACTCTTGAGAATGCTCTCAATCCCAGCACCTGAATAACCAGGGACTGTTTTTCTTTGTAGGCCTTATCTATCCTGATATGTGCCAAGAAATCTGTGCCTGGAGAGAAGGCACATGTTGACTTATATGTGGACCTCTCTGACCCTCCTTGACGTCTCTCTCATCCCCTACTTGAGGGATTACTGTAAATCTAGCACTCCAGGCAGGACCACTTCTACCTGATATGGTGGCGTTCTCTTTTCTTGTTCAGGGACTGGATCCCCCACGCAGAGCGATTTCTGTTATGCAGCTCCTACATTGCCTGTCTTTATTTACCACATACACTAGTGCAGTGGTTCTTAACCGGGAGTCCTGGGTCCGCAGGCTGTTTTCAGGGGGGCGGCGGGGGCCACGGCTGAAGTCTGGAGCCTTGGTGCCCCCCATGGGGCTAAAGCTGGGAGCCACAGGGAGGAAGCCGGGAGCCATGAGCTCCAGAGTCCTCCACGGGACTGAAGCCAGGAGCTGCAGGGTCTTAAACCAAGCCCTGGTGCCCCCTGCGGGGCTGAAGCCGGGAGCCGTGGCACTCCCTGTAGGGCTGAAGCCAGAAGACCATGGGCAGATTTGGGGGGAGGAGGGGCCTCGGGGGGGGGGGGGGTTTCCCCCCCCCCCCCACCCCCGGGCCCTTTCCCAAGGGAGGCAGTCCCGAGGGCAGCCCCCCCCCCCCCCCCCCCCCCCCACACACACATACACATACACACTTCCTTCTCTCCTGCAGTCCCCCTAGACCCTGCCCCCTGGCCAGGTTGGAGGCTGGAGCTGGGTAGTGCGGGGCTGTGGCTGGTGCCATGGAGCGGGAAACTGCGGCATTCCCTGTCTCCTGCTGCTGCTGGTCACCAGAGTTGTGGCTGCTCCCCAGCTCCCAGCCCCCTTTGACTTCTCGGGCAGCTGGTAAGACCCGCCCAGGCGGGGGGCCAGCAGAGCCCTCGGTGAGCAGCGACTGCAACAAGGTGTGCCCGCCCCAGCACACAGCTCCAGATACTCCTCTCCCTGCACCCTGAGCTACATGCCTCACTGCACACAGCTCCTAGCTACCCCCTGCCTGCACACAGCTCCTAGCTACCCCCTGAGCAACCCCCTGCCTGCACACAGCTCCTAGCTACCCCCTGAGCTACCCCCTGCCTGCACACAGCTCCTAGCTACCCCGAGCTACCCCTGCCGGCACACAGCTCCTAGTTTAGTGGTCCCCAATCTTTTTTGTCTGGCGGGCGCCAGACGACGAGCCATGGAGGACTGTGGCGGTGGACGAGCATCCGCCAAAATGCCGTCGACAAGCGGCAACGTCAATAGGCATCGGCGGCATTTCGGCGGTGATCCCTCTGGATGATGCTGCTTGTCGGCGGCATTTTGGCAGATGCTCGTCTGCCGGCCAGTACGCGGGCGCACTTAGACGCCCCGGCGGGCGCCATGGTGCCCGCAGGCACCGTGTTGGGGACCCCTGTCCTAGCTACTCCCTGAGCAACCCCCTGCCGGCACACAGCTCCTAGCTACTCCCTGAGCAACCCCCTGCCGGCACACAGCTCCTAGCTACCCCTCTCCGTGCATCTTGAGCTACATGCCTCACTGCACACAGTTCCTAGGCCCTAGCTATCCCTCTCCCTGCACCCTGAGCAGTTTTCAAACTTTTTGAGCTGAGTCCCCCCCCTTTGAATTATAATTGTTGGTTGTGCCTCCCTACCCTGCTCAGGCGATTAAATGCGGGGGATCCTAACAGGACTGCATAGATAATACCCCCAAGGAGCTAATGCCGAGGCAGGAACGGGAGTGACACCCTGCAATGAAACATAGAACTGTTTGGGCTAGAAGTTCGGAGGAAGTTCTTAAGAAAGTGGCTTTAGGCAGTAGCATAGAACACCGTTGCTAAAGGCAAGTTTGAAGAGTAGGTCAAACGGAGTTCAGACTTCATTGAGAATAACTGGATTTGGTGAACGGGGTCAGAGCCCTGTCCCATATAGTCTGATATCCCTGTCTCTTGTGCTGGGCAGTCTTAGGTTCCTGATGGATCTTGACCACCATCCTGCTTCTGCCAGTGACTATTGGATGAAACGTAAGAGGAAATGGCAGCCCTGCCTCCCCCTATTAATGCACCTGTTGTGCAGTGGGGAGAAGACAGGGAAATGGATATAAGACTGATGAGAAAGACGCCTCTTCAACAAGAACCACTGTCATCTGTCCAGGGGATGCTATTTGGCTCTGGATGTCAGAGGGTTGTGTGGCACGTGGCGCTGGGATGTGTGGGGAGGTTTGTACATCTTATCCAGCTCATGAAGTCTTTGTTGTTGTTTTTTCTGATCCAGGACTTCAGACATGGATTTGTTCCGGGTCTGCACCTTTCTCGTCACGCTGATGTTGTCCAGGGGCAGCTCTTCAGACACAGAGAAACAGAGTATAGACTCTGGGTTGGAAATCTGTATCCTTCTCTCCAGGCCTGCGCTTGGGCTGTGAGTGAGGGCGGGCGAGGGGAGGACTGCAAGAGCAGTTGACAGATATTAGAAGGATTAAGCACCGAAGAGGGAAAGGAGTTATTGAGGGGGCCTCAGGGTTAGAATTACGGATAATGTGAACTAAGGAAAATGCAGACTGAATATTGGGAACTATTTCCTCACTGTGAGATCTAACACACTGGGGAACAGTCCCCAGGGGCAATGGTGGGAACCGCATTAACTGAATCAGGTAGAGCTGGGCTGAGAAGAGGAATTGCAAAGACCAAGCCTGTGTTAGCCAAGCGATAGGTGATGAACTAGATGACCCTGACTCTGATTTCGGGATAGCATCAGAACTGCTGAGCTGGCACATCTTTGCTCTTCTGTAGGGAGGATTTATCTAGGCTCAGTAGTTTGCTTATATAAGACCCATTTCGCTTCATTCTTTTATCCTTGGTTAGCATAGAGGCAGATTCTCAGCTTGGCGCAGAGTAGGTACAGACTGGACAAGAGTTTCAGCCACAGTGTGGTGACCTGTCCTGTGCTCCCAGGGAGAAAAGCACAGTGACCCATAATACACTTTCTCTCCCCGCTTCCAAATACTCTCAGTGAGATTCTTGCAGGAATTGTCAGGGTTTGTCCTGTCTTAGTCCATATGAATTCTCCAAAAATAATCCCAAATCTCCCACAGGCCTGGGATCAAAGCCAAAAGGTCCTATTCCTTCCAGGTCTTAGAGATCAGCCAGGCAATTCTCTTACCAATCAGCACACACCACCCAGTCGCTATTGATTACTTCTTCATCAGGTAAAGTGACTGAACTTTTCAGCCAGATCGTGCACTGGTGTAGCTTGGTGCTGCTCCATTGACTTCCCTGGAGCTATGCTAGCATACACCAGCTGAGGACCTCGACCTTACTTCTCTCTTCTTAGCTTGGGGGAATCACACTGGAGTGTGACAATCTGGAGTGCTGTCCTTTAAGTGAACCCTCAAGGAACCAGTCAAAATAATTGCCTAGTTGAAGTGACTTTTAGCTTAAAACTTTAACCAAATTACACTATGAATGCATGGGGCTATCTCACCATGATTGCCTGACACTGTTGCTATTGGTGAGGGGCTGCTTTGTCCATAATTTCACTCGGCCTGGTCTATGTCTCTTCTGTGTTTATCATTCTTACTGGGCATCAGCAGCTGACATGGATCCTTCCTGTCTGTGCCAGCCTCCCCTGGTGAAGGGTTAATCAAATTGGCATTGCAGGATGCTCAAAGCCCCTGGTGTATTGCAGGAGAGGTTGGGAATTAACGAGAGTTCAGAGTGGCTGTTCTGGGACTGCCAGTCATGTCAGTGGGTTGTAAATGTTAAGCTCGATATAAGTGCTTAATATTTATTAAATGCCCCAAGGGGGTTGTTGGCAGATGTCTGTGTTGCAGGGTTGTTAAAAGCCTGCTCCTGTTTCCCATCTCTGAACTGCTGGAGCGGATAGGCTCAGTCACTTACACCCTGCCCTCAGACACCGTGGAGGCCCCATAAGTGATTGGTTGTACTGGCCTGGGCGGTCTCTCTTCTGGAGCACCGCATGGGTCAGTGCATCTCAGCTGGAAATCGTTGAGTTTGGAGTTGTGGGAGGGAAAAACTGTTACAAGCCCGTAAAATGAGATCGTGGGGCCGAGCCCAGCTCTGGGAAAGAGGGAAGTGGCCTGTCTGTGGGAGACTATGGGCGTGTGTGTGTGTGTGTGTGTATTTTGTAACGGTGTATCTACACTACCTTTGGAAGTGAGCCTCCCATCTCAGGTCCACAAATGTGTGCTGGCAGGGCTCGTGCTAGTGCACTAAAAATAGCTGTGTAGATGCTGCAGTGATGTTGCAGCTCAGGCTCTCGAGCATAGGAGGGCGGGGAGGTTCTGCACAGCTATTTTGAGCACAATAACGCGAGCACCGCCAACACTACTGTGTGCTCCCGGGCTGGGAGACTCGATCCCAGATGCAATGTAGACGTAACCTCAGAGGCCTCAGTGTTGGACTCTGCGATGCTGTCAGGAGGCAGGGCCTGGTCCAGCAGTGAAGTCTGGGCAGTGGGCGCGATCCTTGACAGAGCTGCAGATAAGAAGCTGTTTGAGGTGAAGCGCAAGGACCAGATGAACGCGCTGAAGAACCTGATTGAGCTCAACGACGTGAACCAACAATATAAAATCATCGACATCATGCTCAAGGGACTCTTCAAAGTGAGTGTCACCCACTAACTGCCGCCCCCATCCCTCCTCCGGGGCTTTGGGTGCTGCTGGGTGCTCTTTGGGAGCCCAGCCCTCCCACCAATGTCTGAGCAGGGAGGGCTCAGTACAACTTACCCTTATCCCATGTTCCTGAGGGCGTGTCCCAGCCCAGAGCACCACAATGGGAATGTGACAACGGGGGGGAGGGGAGAAGAAGGGGGTTGATAAGAGTGAGCAGTGGGGTTGGGAACTGGACCAAGGTCACTATGGGCGTGAGAGGGCGGGGCTATGTTTTAAAACAGGGTGGGAAAGTCGGGGCAGACTGCACCACCAAGCTGCCACAGCAGCAAAAAGGAGGAGGGGGAGTGAGAGGAGCCTGGAGCTGGCAGGACGCCTGGGGCAGGCAGGAGAAACATCAGATCTGGGAGGCAGATGGATTCACTGAGTTCACTTTCTGAATGTTCAGGTGCTGGAGGACTCCCGGGCGGTCCTCATAGCCGCAGATGTGCCTCCAGATGGGCCCTTCCCTCAGGACGAGAAGCTAAAGGATGGTAGGACTTCCTCTCCTTTTAATCCCAGTTTCCGCTTCCAGTGCTCTTTCATACTTCTCTCTCCCTCTCATTTGCCATTTCAAATGGGCTCAGTGCAGGGGTAACGGGGGAAATTCGATGGCCTGTGTTGTCCAGGAAGTCTGACTAGATGATCTAATGGTCCCTGCTGGCCTTAAAAATCTATGAAACCATTACCGCCTCCCTGGTCAGTCCACGCTGGGAACCCTTTCTCATCCACTTGGCTCTTTGTCCTGCTTCCTGGATCATTGTTGCCAGCATCTAGAAGATCCTGGGATGGGAGTGGAGCCAGGGGACTCTGCCAGTGATCTGTGAAGCAGAACAGAATCTGGCTGTTTCTTCTGCATGGCTGATGAAAAGTAAGCACTTGGCATTCTGTCCAGTGTGCTGAACAGGGAGGACACTGGAGACCAAAAAAATTGATTGGGCCACCTCGTCTGGTATCCTGTCTTCAGCAGTGTTCAATGCTGAATGCTTCAGAGGGAGGTGTAAAACCTCCCATAATGCATCTCTTTGTGCAATGCTATACAGAATGTGAAGGACGAAATTTCTTCCTGACCCCAGCTAATGATTAGTTTATGACCTGAAGCATGAGGATTGAGAGCCCATACATTGTAGGGGAACACAAGAACCTCTGTCAATTACCCTCTTTTTAAGCAGTTGCTGGCCAGTAATGGTTTCAGAAGAGAAAATCACTCCAAGGATGGAGGTTGGGGAGAGTTGTATTTTACCCTGTCCACAGCCTATGGGCCAGTATCTATGATGGCTGGAAGGTTGATTTATGAGGGAAACAAAGACCATCAGTAAAAAGCAACAGAGGGTCCTGTGGCACCTTTAAGACTAACAGAGGTATTGGAGCATAAGCTTTCGTGGGTGAATGCCCACTTCATCAGACGCAAGACCATCAGACAACTCCCACCCAGAGAGAGATGCACAGATTGGTATCTGAGGGATGAATTCAGCCCTGTGGGATGACTGAATTGTCTTTGAGAATTTGGCTAAATGATGGCAGGGGGGAGGGAGGAGGCTATGCAAACCTTCTAAAGTACCTGTAGGCTGTAAACGGCAAGCAGAGAGGGAAGGTGAACCAAGGAGGTTTATAACTGACTTAAAAGCAAGAAATGGACCAAGGGAAAAGTTGGGCTGAGTATAAAAACCCACTTCCTAACACCTAGGTCTATTATACAGGAGAGCAGTCTCCCAAGGGGAATGAGTGCTGGAGGCCACATCATCTGAGTTATTTAAAACTAGACTAGACGCGGCCCCTCAAGTTGGTAGTGTATGGAATAATCCTGCATTGGCCAGGTCTGAGGAGGGTGGGGCTCTTCCATTCCTCATCTTTGTCAGTAGGAAAGCGCAGTCTTCTGCTGTGTTTATTAGCGCTCTGCTGAACCAGACCCAGCCAGGGGTGCCCGCTCGTTGGGACGTCTGCTGACTGGAGCAGACGTAGACAATTAGAAACCTCCAGTCACCCAGGGCTTGCTGTGTTTGAGGGCACATCCTGCATGTCACCACTTAAACTGGGACTGTTATGCAGTCCTTTTGGCAGCTTGAGAGGAGGGCTTTCCCCCTGGCCTGGCCACGCAAGTAGGGGCCACACCGAGAGTTTCTTGGCTGGAAGGCGATCTCTGCTGGCTTACATGCAGAAGGAAGTGGACATGTGCATGTGCAACAAGACCCTCTGTTGACTGTCCCTGTGACTCCGCCCCTAGCCTATTCCCACGTGGTGGAGAACACGGCTTTCTTTGGAGACGTGGTTCTGCGTTTCCCCAAAATCGTCCACCATTACTTTGACCGCAACTCCAACTGGAACAACCTGGTCCGCTGGGGCATCAGCTTCTGCAACCAGACAGGCGTGTTCGATCAGGGACCTCACTCCCAAGTGCTCGGACTGGTAAGGCTCTGCGCTTATCATCCTGACTCCCGGCATGGCCGGCCCCCCTGGAGGCAGGGGACAGGCCGAAGGGAGGGGGGGATGACTGCGGTTATTGGACTGGAGAAATGGGGAGAGAAGGGAACTGAGAGAAGAGAGTTGAGAGGGGGAGAGATGGGGCTGGAGGAGAGGGAGGAATAAGAGAGGTGGGGCAGGGCATGGAGCAGTAGGGTGAGAGATGCTCTCCAGCACTGACTTTCTTTTGATCCACAGATGGCTCAGGAGCTGGGAATTAGTGAGAAATCTCCGGATTACCAGAATCCCTTTAAAACCGACCATTCTGAGGTAAAATGGCAAAACCACAAGTCAATCCCTGTGCACGTTTCCTCCTCCACCTTTATCCCCTGCTGTCAGGGTTCCCTCCTCACTCTGAACTCTGGGGTACAGATGTGGGGACCTGCATGAAAGACCCCCTAAGTTTATATTCCACCAGCTTAGGTTAAAAACTTCCCCAAGGCACAAATTCCTTTCCTTGTCCTTGGACGGTATTGCTGCCACCACCAAGTGATTTAAACAACCATTCAGGGAGGGGCCACTTGGAGCCCTATCCCCCCCCAAAATATCCCCCCAAGCCCCTTCACTCCCTTTCCTGGGGAGGCTTGAGAATAATATACCAACCAATAGGTCAACAAAGTGAGCACAGGCCAAATCCCTGGTTTTTAGGACACTGAAAATCAATCAGGTTCTTAAAAGAAGAATTTTATTTAAAAAAAAAAAAAAAAAGTAAAAGAATCACACCTTCAAGATCAGGATGGAAGATAACTTTACAGTGTAAATAAAAAGATTTAAAACACAGAGGATTCCCCTCTGACTCTGCTTCCCAGTTACAAAACAGGAATAAAATTACCTCTTAGCATAGGGAAAATTCATGAGCTAAAACAAAAGATAATCTAACGCATTTCCTTTCTATTACAATTTCTGTAATTTTAGATGTATCAGTTCAGGATCTTTTTAGGAGCTGGGTAACCTGCTTGGTCTCTCTCTTTGTCCCGAGAGCGAACAAAACAAAACAAAAAGAGCACAAACAAAACTTCCACTCCCCCCCCCCCCCATTTGAAAGTATCTTCTTTCCCGATTGGTCCTTCTGGTCAGGTGCCAACTAGGTTAATTGAACTGATTAACCCCTTACAGGTAAGTGATTCTGTACCTCTGGCTAGGAGGGATTCGATGTTACTGCATACATAAAGGTTGTTACCCTTCCCTTTATATTTATGACACCTGCACTGAAGGCAGCTGGTTTGGGAATGGAAAGGCCAAACGTTCGGGGCTGTTGACGCCTGGGGTGGAGGAGGGGGAGGATTCTAAGTTCACACCAAGCCATTTGTGTTGTCCATGATGGCGGCACCATTTGGTGAGCAGTCTGATCATTCCCTTCCCTTCCCCTCCCCCCTCGACTCATGGAGCAGTGCCGGCAACCTCTCCCTACAGGGTCTCAATGCTCCAGCGAGTGAATTCCTTTTGCTGCTCAATGCGTGAGATGCACGGGAGTGCGGGAAAGGCAGGTCCATGCACTCTGCTGTTTATCTCCCCCTTTGCCCTCGAAGGGCCCACGTCGGGGCTTGTCTGTCCTGTTGGACACAGCTCTTCCTGGAGCCTGATGATGTGTCCAGATTGACTGCCGAGTCCTGGTCTTTCAATACAATCCCCCTGTGGGAAAGCTCTCCGTAGCTATTGGCACACAGCGGGTCTGGCAGAGAATGATCACGTGGCAGCGAGGCAAGGAGCCATCCCTGCTACCAACGGGCCCTGCTGCCCTCACAAACCCATCTCTCTCTCTTCTCTCTGATAGTCTACATTTGGCCCCAGCACGGCCTCAGAGTTGGGGGCCCCTTCTGCAGTCTGTGGCTAGGAGAGTCGGGACTCTGAGCTTATGGGACTGCCTTGGGCAAGTCACTTAATCTCTCTATTTCTGAATGTCCCCATCGATAAGATGGGGGCAGTCGTACCTGCCTCACAGAAGTAATTGGGCCCGATGTGCCTCTTGCTTAGTATCTGATCTAAAGCCCACGGGAGTCATCAGGAATCTGTTCATGGGCTTTGGATCACCTGCTTTCTCCACTGATGTCAGTAAGGCTACAACTGGCAGAAGGGAGTGGAGACTCTCCCCCCTTTACGGACTAAGAGATTTAATTAATGAACATTGTCAGGCTTCCCGAGACCGCTAAGGCACTGGGATTGCTTTTCCTGTCTGCACCCGTGCGGAGCTGAGCTCCTCCTTGCGCTCTCAGTTTTTCCCCAGTGCAGACACGTTCCAGAAGGCCCTGCGAGAGGAGGAGAAACGGAGAAAGAAAGAAGAGAAACGGAAGGAGATCCGCAAGGGGCCCCGCATCTCGCGCTCGCAGTCAGAGTTATAGCGCTGGCACCGGCCTCGTCGCTGAGACCCCTGCTGGCGGGAGATGCCGCGCCTGGAAGCAGAGTGTCCTACTCCCTCAGCAGCCTCAGGAGAAGGCTGGGCGGGTCACCTTTAATTTGTTTAATAGTTTTTGTTTTCCTTTTTTCTGTGGTGTATCGGACAAGGACTGGATTGAATCCTGAGAAGGGACTGGACGCAGCTCCTGGATACAGCCCCCCGTGGGGAAGCTCTCCATAGTCATTGGCATACAGAGGGTCCAGCAGAGAACATCCATTGGGTGCATGCACTGTAGGGCTTTGCTGATATTAACAATGAGACTGCATGGAGGCAGGGAGGGATTAGAGTGGTACCTGCCCCCCTGGAACCACAATGCAGGATACAGGGCATAGTTATACTGGGCAGGTCTATGTTGCAAGCTGCATAGTTATACCGGTCAGAGGGAAAGCATGGTAGGGTGTGTGGTTAGACCAGATACCCACAGGTCTTGGGAACCTTCAGTTACTGGAGAAATACAATGTATCATGTATTAAACATGCTCCCTTCCCCCTGGAAATGGGGGGTAGACGGTGTAACTCAGCGGCTCCAACAGTGATGGCACTTTTGTATGGTTCAATTAGCCAGCTAGTCCCTCCCCTGCCACTTATACCAAATCCTGCATTATTGGAACCTCCATCCACCAATCAGATCTCTCCTTTCTAATGGCTGTTTTATTAAAGAAACATAATTTTAAATCTAAATAGACCATTGGCTGATTTGGATTTGAGAGAGCCAACGGGGTGAACCCCCACCCATGTAGTGGGAGGCAGCCCGCTTTCCCAGGGCTGCAGGGGGAAAGGTTGTGTCTGTTTGGGTTTTTTTGAGGGGGTGTGTGTGTGTGTGTGAAGGAGAGGGGGACTGCTGTGCTTGCAAGGACAGGCTGAGCGGGCTCCAGAGAGTGTAACGTCACCATAAGACCTCCCAGCAAAGGATCTGGAGTAAAGACTCAGCCTGAACTCCCCCCCCCCCCCCCACACACACAAAAAAAAGTCTCCTTATGCTGGTGGCTTGCATGAGCTGAACTTGTGGTTTCTGGTCTCGGCTCAGTTCCTGGCAAACAGGTGCCCACATGACAATCACTATGGCCACTGGCACTCAGTGGGAGCCTTGACAAAAAGACCAAGGATTGAATAAGCTATGGAGGCAGAACTCCTCTTCCCCACCTTCCCCCTAGAGAATCCCACTTGCTCCAGATTTGAGGCACGTTGTTGGGGGGATGCGAAGCCCGTGCTGTGGCTAAAGAAGGGACCTCAAACTCCATGGGTCCCAGTTTGGCACTTTCAGTCTCACTAAATTCACCTAGTGCTTTGGGTTGTGGATTTTTTTAATTACCTTTATTTTGCTGTGTTAAAATGTAAAGATACCCACCTCCTAGATCATCGTGGCAGGCTGACCTGCCACTACATAAACAGTGAGAAGAAAGAGATGATGATCATGTGTTCTGTCAAAAATGGATTCTTTCCATTGGACCAAGCAACCGACTGTAGATTTAATTGTCCAATCAGAGTTATTGTGAGTGCACTGTTACTGACCTGCTGCCTTACTGGCTCAGAGCAACAAGCCTTCTCTTTTGCATGTGCAGCTATTCCATACAGACATGTTTTTGTAAGTGTACTAGAAATATGCTGGTTTCTGACTGATGTTCATTTCAACAGTCATCAGTAAGGTAAAGGTTAGTGATCCAGCCTTGGGCTCAGTGCAGCTAACGCTGTAGTCCAGATCCAGAGCTGGTTGCCAGTTAAATGAATTTGATGGATCTCATCCAAGTCCCCAGTGGATGTTTGCACGTGAGCCAAATTGCGTGGAGGCTTTGTATCAAGTGGTACTCACTGCACAGGGGCTCACGACTGGAACAGCCGGGGATGCTGCAAGTTGGGATTGATGGCCGTTGGCAGAGCTGTGCATGAGTAGCTTGTGCAGCATTCGCCTAGCTCCAGCTAGCGCTATCAGCCTCTCGCTGTCTTGAGCACGAGAACTCAAATTTACTGTCTCAAGATTTGTTTTTGATGTATTTTCAGTCGCTGATCAAATCGCACAGCCCTAGCTTGTTCTTGCTGGGGGATTATCCTTCTGTGGGGAATAAGGGACTCTGTAGTCTGACTTGCTGCCTTCAGGCTATTTTATATGGCCAGAGATGGGAAATGTCATTTATTTTTAAATGAAGAGCCAGTTACATTTGTTCCTTGGACATGCATTGAAAGGGGAAGCCATTTTTTTTTCTTGAATAAATCAGAATTTTTAAAATCAAACCATTGTATCTTGTTAGTGTTTCAATGGGAGCTGTTTTGAATCAGGGGATGCCTGGGGGTGTCTCTGTGGTGGGAATGGGTATTGGGCCTGTTGAGAACCTCCTACATTTTAGGAGGCTGGATTGGTGCTGAGATACAATTGGAAGAGTTCCCTTGATCCTGTCTGGTTACCTGCTAAATTAGTTACTGTAGCACTTTAAAGACGAATCTTCCTCTAAAATATACTGTGTCTATATTCCAAAAATTCTGTCCCACAATTACCACCTTCAGACTGACACAAATACCCCTGGGATGTCTCATTTAACATATGCAGTACTATAACTTTGAACTTTTTAATGGTACTCTCTTCCCACACTCCACCAAACTTCCTTGGCATCTAGGGCCAGATTTTCAAAGGTATTTAGGAGCCTAGTGGGATTTTCAAAATACCCAAGCAGGCTAGTCACCTAACTCTCATTGGTTTCAGTGGGAGTCAGGGGCCTAACCTGCTTAAGTGCTTTTGAAAATCCCATTAGTGCCTACCACCTGCATCTTTAAGCACTAAATATATTCTAAAATCTGCCCCCTTGTGGCTGCCATGCTAGATCAGACCCTGTTATGCACCATCAGACCTCTCGTGGGGAAGACATAGAACCCACAGGGCCTGCACTTACCCCTGCTCCTTGCTGGCTTCTCATGCAGTTGGGGAGAGATTTGTTGCTTGCATCTCTCCTTGTTCTGTTCTCCCTCGTACGTATACCTTTGCTCCCTCTCCCAAAGAAAGGATGGGGCTCCAGGAACCAACGTTCAGGTATTATTTTGTACTGCAGTCATGGACCAGGACCCCATTGTGCTAGGCATTGTACAAACAGAAGAAAAAAAGATGGTCCCTACCCCAAAAAGCTTACAATCTAAGTATAAGACGAGACAATGGGTAGAGAGAGAGGGAGGGGAATACCAGGAAACAATAAGACAATATTGATCAGCACGACGGGAAGTGTTCTCAGCTCACCAGCAGCCTGTTGGCAAGTTTTTTGTAGGCATCACAGCAAAAGAGTTTCCAAGAGGGAGCTGGAAGTGGACAGTGAGGTGACCTTGCAGATAGGGCTCTGGTCCCAAGTGTGAGGGGCAGCACAGGCGAGAGCAAGGATGTGATTGTTTGAAAATGAAACAAGCGGACAATGAAGGCTGGAAGAATAGAAGCAGGAGCTAACATCTCAGTAGTGAATGAGAGATGATAGCAAGGGTGGGGATAGGCTATAAAGGTATGATGATGGTGCCCAGCTGCTGTAGGACCTTGGGTTATGATTGCCTCAGAGCCCACAAGTGAAATAAGACTATGCCAGATCACTATTAGCCTGATTTGTCAGAGGTGCTGAATACCCACAACTGGCACTGATTCAATGGAATCTACAGGAGCTCAGCACCTCTGAAATCCAGGTCCTCTATGGTTGGGACCAAGGCAAACAAAGCAGCTGTTGGAAGTGGTGCTCTCCTCCCTGCGCTTGGTACTGACCTTGTGTCCCTCCCAGCATGGTGCTTTGGTTGTGCTGCTGGAGGCACCATCTTTTGAATGGATAATGAAATGGAGACCTGAGTGCGGGGTCACTGAAGATCTGACAACTCTTGCAAAAGCAGGGATACAAATCCCTGGTCAAATTTCAATTTGGGCTAATTTATGTTTGCCTCTCAAGCCGCTCCTGGCATCTGAGTGGGACACAGGTGGCCTGATCCTTCAGAGCCTGGGTGTGAGGGGGATGGAGGAAGACTTTCCCATGTGAGGTGAGCCACTGCTTGCAGTCCCTCCAGAGTCTGTACTGCAGCAAAGATGCAGGATTTGATACAACAGACAGCTTCATGCGTGCCAGCCCTCTGAATGACAGCTCTTCCCACAGCCAAGCATATGGCCAGCTAAAAGTTCTATTGCTTGCTTCTTCTACTATCATAGGTGGAGATGGAAGGGGGCAGGAAAGCCTGACAGTATTTGCTTACCAAGAAGGTATAGAGCAGTGGTTCCCAAACTTTAACAGCCCGCGAACCCCTTTCACTAAATTGTGAAATCTCGTGAACCCCCTCCTAAAAATGAATATTTTCAGGGATTTAAGTTTAAATTTCTTCAGTGTGATGGATGCCCCAATTGCTGGGCCCTGGAATCTATGAACCTCTGAAAAATATTTTTAATTGAAACTTTTTTTAACGAACATAGAAAAACCAGAAACCAAAGATGTTTCTGTAAAATGTTTTTTTGGCTTTTGTTTAAAAAAAAATGGTTTCGAATAAAAATAAATTCATTTTTGGTTTTCAAAAATCAGAAAAATGTTTGAAAATGGACCATTTTTCCGTTTCAGTTTTTTGTAAATTTTTCTTGGGGAATTTTGAAAAATGTGAAAAAAATTCAAAACTTTCTGTGAAAAATGCTTGGTATTTTTCACCTACCTCTAGTTTCGGGTGAGGTTGTGGCTGGTGGTAACAAGGAGGGCTGTGGTTCTGGCTTTAGATGAGATTTGGCAAATTCCTGGGGCTCGGGCTGGGGTTCGGGCTGCCGGCTCGCCCGTTGACGGGGGCGGGGCTCGGGCTGCCAGCCCCTACTGCCCGGCCCCGCTCTCCCTGGGGCTCGGGCTGCCAGCCCCACGCAGAGCGCTGGGGTTCAGGCTGCCGGCTCCCCCGCTGACAGGGGCAGGGCTCGGGCTGCTGGCCCCAATTGCCCGGCCCCGCTCTCCCTGGGGCTCAGGCTGCCAACCCTGCGCGGAGCGCTGTGGCTCGGGCTGCCTGCCCCAACTGCCCGGCCCCGCTCTCCCTGGGGCTCGGGCTGTCTGCCCTGCAACTGGGTCCCAGCAGAGTCCTCTGGCCGCCATTAATGAAATTTTTCTCGCGAACCCCCTGAAATGTCCTGCGAACCCCCAGGGGTTCGCGAACCCCACTTTGGGAACCACTGGTATAGAGGCTAGAAAGCAATGAGCAGGACCAAGTCAGCAGTGATGGCACAGCCCCCCATTCTTGAATCTCAGCTGGCTAGTTGTGATCCTGTCAGCTATCCCACAGTTCCCACAGTCTCTGCCGCCCATTGGAATTCTGGGTTAAGCTTCCAATGCCTGATACGGGCAAAACCATTGTTGCACGTGGTTCTGGGTACATGTCGTCAGTCGCGCCTCCTTCCGTGAAAGCAACGGCAGACAATTGTTTCGCGCCTTTTTTCCTGGGTTACCCATGCAGATGCCATACCACGGCAAGCATGGAGCCAGCTCAGCTCACCGCCAATGGAACATGGGGAGGACGGTAGGCGGTTGGTTATACAGTGGGGGTCTGTACTCTTGTTGGCTTTCCTGCAGCTCCAACAGACGCTTCATCATGTCCGTTTGCTCCCCCAACAGACGCTTCATCATGTCCGTTTGCTCCCTGTAGAGGTACAGACTCACCCCGTGGTGCCTCCTGCTGGTCATCTCCAGGAATTAGCTCATTTCAGCATTGGGGCACCCCCTGCAGGCCGGTGGTCCACCTGTCCTCTGGCCCCTGTGTCGCTCCCAGACCCCAGTGCCCTTTTATCTGGGGTGCTGCCCCCTGGCAGTACACCCCTCAGTACTAGGGTCTCCCCTC